TAAATATAATACAGTTTACTACTGTACTAACATCATTAGGGGTCAGAAAAATATCTAATAATTTATATTTTATTAATCATTACAACAAAATATTACTTTTTTATGCACGATAAGCACAATATCATTTATAATACACAGAAAATAAAATAATTTAGTTTATATACTTTATTATACAAGGTATAGTACAGTACACAATATGTGTGTATATAACGGAATATAATAAAAGTTATTGACCAAAATTAAATGATCATTGTCATAAATTACATTTAATTTATGGCTCTCGTACCCACATTTATATAAACACACTAGATTGTGCCCGGTCATTATATTATTATACTATGTGTGTCAATAATAACTCATGACTGGGCCCTTGGAAATCAATTAGTCTGCAAAATGCATCAGGCACATACACATACATTAAATAAATATAATAATCATAATTGTGTTCAGTAAGCATGGCCGATTATAAAATAGAAAATTTCTATATAAGTCAATACTTTACTCACGTAGGTACTTTACAAATATTACTTGCATGAGGTATCAGGGTATTATATTGTTATTACGTCAATTGTCTATTATTAAAAATAGTATTATTTATAAAAATATATTTTTAGTTACATTTAATAAGCGGATTATATTGTAATAGGTTTATAAATTACAATNTGTTGGAAATTCTTAAAAAATAATTACTAAATATAGCTGATATAAAATAAATATTTATACTAAAAATTATTACCATAAGCTAAATGTAGTAATAATACTTTGTAAATGCGCCTGTATAAATTAAAAACAATTCATTGTGTGGTATTGATTAAACATTGTATTATTGTATGCCTGTCTCAAAAGGGTTGGGCATTAAAATGTATATTATATTTATGATGTTTTTGCATAGCATTTATAATAGAGATATACGTATACGAGAGGTATGCCTATGACGTACATCCATGTGTCAAATGGTATGATAGGCCTCACAGAATATTCTGCATAAATATTTTTGTTATATACATATTTTCGCATTAAATACATTTCTCATTTAAAATATGCAATACTTATGATGGGAAATAGAGATTATAAATACAAATTAAAATGTCATATATAAGGGTCGTTCATAAAAGTTAGATAAATAATTTTCATTAAGTTATAATAACTTTTTGAAAAAATATTATATATTTTTATCATAAATAGTCTTATGAACAAATAATCTTACTTTAAAAATTAATTATATACAATATTTCAGGATTGGTGTTGCACCAATATTATTGTCCATGTCATTAATATATTAAAAATATAAATTCCTATTATCCCATTTTACAGTTTATATAAATTTATCACTAAAAATATGTATTAATGCATTATAGTATAATATTGTAATAAAATCATTTACATTAATATAAATGCATACATTTCAATATCTCGCTAATGAACGTCACACGTACTTATCGCACTACCCCTTACTATAAGCAAAACCTCAAATACCTGTTCGCTTTGGGAGATCCAGTCGATGAGGAATAGGTGCCAATGGCTGGCGTTAACGGCCGACGCGATCGTAGCGGACAGTTCGTTCAGTACGTACGTCCGTTGGGGCGTGTCCTGGCTCAGCATGTTGGTGAGGGACTGGAGCATTTTGCGCTTATCCGCGTGTACGCAAAACTAATGGGGGACAAAAAACAAAAATTTATTTTTCCAGATTATTATACCGTATTCGCATGAATTATTTAATGGTGCAATTATAATAAATCACAGAATTATTAAAGCATGTTTTTGCGAAATTATAAGCTAATTATAGTAATGGGACATAGAGAGAGAATATTATGCTGATTATATCTAATTTCCACGGAATATTCTTTATTATTTAAGTGTATTAGATTAATTTTGGTTGCGAAATTTTTGTTGTGTATGATTAATTCATTTTTGCGCAAATTATTGTGCTAAGGTCGCTTAATTTCTGATAATACTTGTATGCTATTTGAATTTGAGCACACACACACACACACACACATACACACACACGTATACAAAAAAGTTTAATTAAAATCTAAAAATCTTATATAAAGATCCAGTAAATATTGTTTGCAATCATATTAACCGCATGAACTTTTATTATCTACTATCACATAAATCTGCATAAAATAATGAACAAACAATTTTCATAGTAAACACACAATACTTATTAATAATACGAAAATACACTTTACGACCGATATGTGAGCACCGATACCCTAAATATTCAATGACAAGTCGCTGGTATATATATTAAGTACTGACTAAATATGCGGTGAATTTTTCCGTATATATAAACATTAACGCACTGTTTAGGCGATTAATTAAATATTTATGAAAATATGTGTTTATATTATATTCTTATATACAGAATATTCTGTATATTCTTATGTGCCATATCTCACTCGCACTTCACATATGGCACACAAACACACATACATTCCATATAAAGAATATTCTGGACATTCATGTGAACCTGGATATTGACTGTGAATTAATCAGAACTTTATTACATAGCATCAAGGTTGCTTAAGGTGCTAAAGTTGCACATTTGCTTAAATTACTGTCATGGCTATCGCATGCTAGTTAATAATAAATAGCTAAATGTGTAGCAAACAGATATGTTTATTAGCAAAAGATATTTTAACAAGTTTCTAAAGGTCAGATATAACTAGGTTAGCCTGGGTATCAATAGTTATTGATATATAATAAGTAGCTGTCAAGTGAGCAATGTATAATTAACACTTACTTTATACCGGGAAAGGCTTGACTTTTTGTTACGATTCTTGCGTATAAGCCATCTCTCAATCTGTTCAGTGGACACGTTATTCAGCACATAATCGCTGAGATAATCCGGGTTATCGTTCAGGAATTCATCCATGTCCATAGTATCTTGATAATTAAATGTGATGCAGAATTGTTAAATAAGTTTAATACGTATAAATGCGATATGTTTTTAGTGTTGAAAATATGTTAAAAGTGTTATTCAGTTGTCAATTGTTTAAACACATACAGAATATTCTGTGAATTAATTAATATTATCGTAGAATTGTTTTCCAAATGTTTTTGTTTTCAGATTATACTGAAAACCCAGAGTTTCGTAACTATTAGTAATTTTTGGGAATATGTAATTTATTTAATTGTTTTATTTATTACGCTACTATCAATAAGTTTATTATATACGGACATGACAATAACATATTTTGTAATATTTCGAAAAATTTTCATTAGTCATAACTTTTGTCGTATATATATATATTGTATTCAATATTTGTTTTTACGAGTGAACACACAGTTTGATGCAAAATAAACAAAATAAAACTTTTTTCCACAGCATATTACTATTGTCACTATTGTAGCATGATGACAGCCATACTACATATACGGTGTAGCTTATATACTGTACACCCCGGTACGGTATACACACATTGCATTAGTAGCTCACATGCGGTAATATTACATATTAGATGCTAATGTATTAAGACAAATCAATAGCAGGTCAATACAATGTGAATTCAACACCAAAAAAGGCATAGACTTATAATTGAAATAGGAGTACAGGGCTGGTAGGTTCATATAACTATGCACTATCCGCAGCGCACACCGTTAGGTAGACTCTGTGACAGAGCACTGGTAGGTAAACGTTGAGCTCTCACTGAATTTATATACTAGTTATGAGAGTGTCTGCGAAAAATCGATATTACAATCTCTCTCTCTCTCTCTCTCTCTCTCTCTCTCTCTCTCTCTCTCTCTCTCTCTC